TTTAGTCCCTGGATTTTCTCCCCTGGAAGGTATTTATGCACCACAATCCTGTCCCACACAGTACAACTTGTGTGTATGGCCAAGCGCTCAGCGGCGAAGTTGGGAATAGAACCCAGGAATCCAGATGCCCGGGCCCCTACCCTCACTGCCATACAGTCACAAACTCTGCAAGATGGCACCAGGTTTTAATTTATATGGCTGCGGCAGTTCCCTCTGCCTGTGTATCAATGCTTGCACGGCTGCGAGGGACCGGAAAAATGCTTGCCTGCCCATGTGCGCTAAATATTGCTGCAAATTGATTGGTGCACGCGTTTGAAATTGACGGCTCTTTAGTCTGCTACTATAAACGGCTCCTCAGGAAGGGCTGAGGCTTCAATGCGAGCGCAACACATGCCCTTTGAAAGCTGTAATTGTCGCCTATATATAGTCCCCCTTGGTATAGAACACCGTGTCAGGGATGGTGCCTCCTGGGCCCACAGAAATGCACAGAATGCTGGCAGAGGATAGAGGAGGAAAAACAACTCAGAGGGGAGGCTGGTGTAAAGGCAGAATGGCAGGGAAAAGGGCAGGAGAGTGGAGGCGACAGAGGAGAGAAGGGAACGGCTGGCAGTGAAGGTCAATCCAGATCAAAGGGGCCACAGTGGAGCATGGAAACACACCAGGCACTGATGCGGGGCATCAGGATTCCTGGGTTCTGCTCCCAGATCTGCCACTTACTCGCTGAGTTGCATTGGGCAAATCATTTCCCCTCTCGGTGCTACTTTGCACTTGGAGTAGAAGGTGGGGACCTGGTTGCAAAGGCTCGGGCTGGCCGCCGAGAAAGCTCTGGCTTCTGCTCAGACGAGCTTTACCCTTATTCCAGAAAGTCCCAGGATGCCTGGGTGGAGCTGTCAACCAAGATCTTCAGCCCAGAACTCTAGGCTCTTTTAGATACCCTGAGTCCAAGCCACTGAAGATAAGGACCGAGACTTTGAACTTGACTCCTCTACTTGACCTCGAGCAGCCTCCGCTGTAACCGCTAGTGAGAGAACACATCTCCCCTGGACGGCTGGCTGAAATTTGCAGAATGAGGTGGTTTTGGTAAAAATGAATTAATAAATCAAATTTCTCAAAAATGAAAGTTTCCCACAAAACCCATCATTGACGGTGGAATTTTTCCTTTTTTTGCAAAAAAGCTCCCAAAAAATAACCACCACCCGACCTCTTCCAAAAACAACACCAACCCAACAAAAACTTTTGAAGCAGTTATCCACATTTTCCATTGAACTGCCATTTCAGTGCATGAAAAACAACAACGTTTTCCATAAACACGCATGAGTTTTTTAAAAGACGTCTCCTTTCAAACATCAGGGGGTAGCCGTGTTAGTCTGTATCTACAAAAACAACACAGAGACTGGTGGCACCTTAAAGACTAACAGATTTATTTGGGCATAAGCTTTCGTGGGGAAAAAACCCACTTCTTCGGGTTTTTCCCCCGAAAACTTATTGCCAAAAAAAAATTTTAGTCTT